ACGGTGTGCCCATATCTCCAGTCCTTTGATTTGTGGGAAGTGTCTGCTGAAAGTTGCCCTCAGAGAGGAGTTTGCTTTAAACGTGCAGCTTCCAGGTTTAGATGTTTCTTCCTGAAGCAGTGTTACCTGAACTGACTTGTCACAAGCCTCAATGAATGGGGGCGGGGGGGACGGAATCTAAGGGACCTCCAGGAAGACTGCAGAAGTAGCTTCCACCACATGCAAAACCAGAGAGTTGAGAAAGGAAAGGCGAATTGGCAGGATAACCAACCACTACATCAACTGGTACTTAAAACAGCCTAATTACCTTCACGAAGAAGGCAGCTCTCGCTTAAGGACGCCAAGGATCACCCCGGGAGGGGCGGGGGGGACGGAATCTAAGGGACCTCCAGGAAGACTGCAGAAGTAGCTTCCACCACATGCAAAACCAGAGAGTTGAGAAAGGAAAGGCGAATTGGCAGGATAACCAACCACTACATCAACTGGTACTTAAAACAGCCTAATTACCTTCACGAAGAAGGCAGCTCTCGCTTAAGGACGCCAAGGATCACCCCGGGATTTGGAGCCAGAGGATGCGGAACTTCCCACCTCGGCGAACAGGTGAAGTCAGAGTAACGGGGGGGAAAAAAGCAAGCAGCCTGATTACATGCAGGTATAGCTTTAATCACTCGCAGAACTGCAGAAGTCTCAGGACTTGCATAGCACACAGGAAGACTTAACTTTTATCATGAAAAAACCATGCGTCTTTGGTAGGCAAGCCAGTCTGCCAGAAATGTAAGCATCTGGAACCACATACACGTTCATTTGCAGTGCAAATGCCTAGCTTTGTTAAAGATTTGCTCTGGTCAATAGATTTCTGAAAACAATTTCTGAAGTATACGCATTATAGATACCGTGATTTATTTCAAGCTAATAGGGTGGAAATACTTAAAAACCAGCATGTACTCACAGGAATAGAGATGTTTGTTTCTGACTGACATTTTTCTCTTCTGTAAACTTTTTGCATTAAAAACTTCTAGTCACATGTAATTGCTAGCATTGAACATTAATTATTTTTAAAAAATAAACATGCAGAAAGCCATCCTCTTTAAAACCAACACATAAAATAACCCAGCAGAGATTGTAGAGAAAAGCAATAGCCTCACAAGGCAAACCTCCAGCAGAAATGTATTTTCTGTGGAAGTCCATGCTCCGATTACACCATGCAGTGGTGCGAGTCCAGCCAAAGTCAATCACATAACAGAGCACTTGCCTTGCAGCTTATCTTTCTTTTTTTGCTGCTTGGATTTCTTTCCGTCCACCTGGAGACTGACAGTTCTCCTCTTCTCCAGATTCAAGAGCTCCTGGAAGAGCTCCTGCACGTTGTAGTTCATTTTGGCTGATGTCTCCATAAAGGAGCACTTCCACTTGCTGGCTAACGCTTGCCCCTCGCTGGCATCCAGCTCCCTCTGGGTTTCATCACTTTTGTTACCCACCAACATTATTGGGATTTTTTGGATGTCCCCTTTAATCTGACAAATCTGTTCAAAGATGGGCTGAAGATCTTCCATGGACTGCCTGCTGGTGACAGAGTACACCAAGATGAAAGCATGCCCTTTGGATATAGACAGCCTCTGCATAGCAGGGAACTGATGGCTTCCCGTGGTGTCTGTAATCTGAAGGGTGCAGATGCTCTTATCACAGCTGATCACCTGCCGGTACGTATCTTCGATTGTGGGGATATAGGTTTCCCTGAAAGTTCCCCTTACAAAACGAAGGACCAAGGAGCTTTTGCCAACCCCTGCCGCTCCAAACACAACCACCCTGTAATCGTTGCTTTGTTCAGGCATGTCTGCTGTGCTGCGATACAAGTGAAGATTTTAACCGAAAAAGCCTGAGTTCTTCAAGTTTACACACCCCTTTACAGAGGTGGCCTGCGGAGAAGGGAGGGGGCAAAAGGGAAAGACAGGAGTAGGAGGAGAGAAAGAAAGCGTTCACACCATCTCGGTAATTTTACGGCACGTTATTGAAACAAGCAACGAAATAAGTCACTCCCTTCCCATCCTTTTTTCTTGCGTTAAAGAGAAATAAACCACCATCCCCCCAGGCATACATCCCACGCACACTTAACGTTATGAGAAGTGAAAACGAATTCACCTGTAGCCATCAGCT